TCTCTCTCTCTCTCTCTCTCTCTCTCTCTCTCTCTCTCTCTCTCTCTCTCTTCCTCTCTCTCTTTCTCTTTTTCTCAAAGAATGTGACAGTAACACTGGGCCGCTGACATGAGTACACTGTTGTGTATTTCAGTCAAGGTCTGTACATGCATGGAAACCATGGAGTTTTCAAAACGTTGACGACAGAAATAATTTCTCTCACAGACAAAAATAGATGTGTCACGACGTGATGGAATCAGGCGCTCGTCAGTATTTAGGCTTGTGGAGTTATTGGTACCATCTGAAAGCTGATTCATTTGCCTTGCTTTCAATTAAAAAATATCCATCAATCTTGAATAGAAGTCGAGATATTTGCGATTGAAGAAGGTGGGGTTGCCTGGTTTCAGTGGTTAAATTAATGAGAAAATGGCCGCCAAAGTTTGGTAACTTTAACTGCTTAAGAGTCCTTGAAAACTGAAAATTACATACTTTGTGCCTTTGAACAAGGTTTTCTGTAAAATTCACATAGAAATGCATTTTCATATGAACATAACGTTTAGCCCAAAAACAAAATTTCTATAAAAATTGCCAAGCTGGGGGAAAACAGGCTTTTTCTTCGATTTAATTATTTTGACGAGGGCCTGATTTCACCACTATTCCTTACAAATAATTACATTTTGGCCACTAGGACTGGCATTCTCAAACATCTGATGCCCTGAGTACCTGGACTTCCATCCAACATTTAGTTTCGAACTTCTTTTTTTTCCCATGCAAGAAACTTCTCTTGGCACAAATTTGAACGTTCAGTTCATCACTTTAAAAAATAATCTCTTACGGCTGGGGATGTCGACAACAAAGTTTGCCACCAGTGCATTAGGAAATACGTGGAAAACGAATTTCATGAATTGTTCAGAGGCTCATAAGTAGTTCAATGAAACACGTTTGGAGCTCTTGTAAACATAAATGTCGAACTCCAGACAGTTGAAACATCAATTTCCAAGTTCAACTAGTCTCTCTCTCTCTCTCTCTCTCTCTCTCTCTCTCTCTCTCTCTCTCTCTCTCCTTCTCTCTCATTCTGAGCAGTCAAAGTTTTCGTGAAATGCTCGCTCCAATCCGACGCAAATGCTGGCACATAAACAGAGCATATTGATCACTGCAGAAAACTAACAAAGCTCTCATTGAGTAGAATAAATTATGAAATAAAAGTTAGTGACCAGCAAGTCAGAATATCGTGGTGGAATCAGGCGCTCGTCAATTTTTTGGCATATGGACTTATTGGTATCATCTTAAAGCTTGTTCTTGCTTTCGATTAAAAAAAATATCCATTTATCTTGAATAGAATTCAAGTCTTTTACGATTGAAGGAGGTGGAGTCGCCTGGTTCCAGAGGTAAAATGAGCGAGATAGTGGCCACCAAAGTTTGGTGACTTCCTTAGCTTAGGCCTAAGAGAACTTGGAAACTGCAGATTAAAATTGTGTGTGCCTTTAATCTACGTTTTTCCATAAAATCCATACATAAAAGTGTTTTTGAATAACATTTAAGGTGTTGAGCAAAAAACAACACCCCCCCCCCCCAAAAAAAAGAACACTTTGTCGAAAACTACCGATTTCTCGGAGTTCAGTATTTTGACGAGCGCCTGATTGCACCAGGATGCCTCCCATATACTCCAAGCAAACCTTTGAACTACAAACCTCACGGTCTTAGTAACCCCCGAAAAACGTGAGAGGAACATCTCTGCTATCTTGTAGTAAGACGTAGATCTAGATTATTAACATGTTTGTCCACTAGAGGATACCCGTCCACTAGAGGATACCCGTCCACTAGAGGATACCCGTCCACCAGATTGTACTGGAGGCTCAGGTTTCTCCC